ATGTTTTATGGCTTCTGAATCTCATCTTTATCATCTCCCTTTGAGGCCTATTTTTATATCAGCTTTCTGCTCATATTAACCGGACAATAGCTGCTATAGTTTGAGTGGCCACAAGAGGGCAGGAGAGCTCTACAAACAGCCTGTGTTTACCAGAGCTGTGGGGCCTGAATAAAACAAGTGGATTTCCTTTGGGATTCATTTGGACGCTCGATGAAAACTATGCAAGAATACTAGAATTGTGATGGTTAGTCGGTGTTTCAAGTGTACTTCTTACCATCCTGTTTCAGTAACAAAAAGGTCAAACAGCAGAAAGCTCCATGTGTGTGGTGTAACGGAATTGAAGTAACCTTCATAACCTTACAGTGGCTTACACACATAATGGAAATCACACAGCACCACAGTGCATTATGTGTTTAAACTCTGGCTTTATTTCTAATGGAGAGAAGGAAAAAGAGGGGACATATGCTAAATATTTTGAATTATTTATGTGGGTCTCTACTGCCAATTACACAACAAATGTGAGAATATGAATCCTTGTAATAATTAATGGCCTGTTATCTCTTGAATAAATGCATTTCCCAATAGAGTTTCTAGCTAAGACCATGTCAGAATTAATGTATATCAAGCTGCTTTGGTGAAGTTACAAAAAGAAACAATGATTCTTGAGCTAATTTGCAAGCAAACAGCGTTGACTCCCAACAGTTATTGGTGGAGTTTTAATCAAACGGTCTGGCATAACGGATAATTTAGTATCAGATAAATCTCAGCTATTAACTGAAACATTTAGATCAATCTGGTAAAACTGATTATCTTTGTGATAACACTGACCATTTTTGAGTGTTCAAATTCATGCTGTGGCAGCAAAAAATCTTACGCGCACACACACACACGGAAAATCGTTGCCACCTTTCATTTAACAAAAGCAAAATAACAAAACGGATCATTCATCAGCATTTCATCAGCTCCTCTTCACCTCTGGCGCTCCTGGCAGGTTAATTGAACTCTGAGCCATTAGATACAATCCTGTGAAAGGTATGAGCGACTAAGAATGGGACGCCATTGTGTGAGGAGAACAGAGACACTGGGGCTGACTGGAGATCAGATATGAGGACCTTTGGAGGGTGGAGAGCAGATACACATGTGTCACAAGCCCAGGTGGAATTCATTGTCACGGTTAAGGCCCTGTTGCCGTGGAGATGATGATGAAAAACGGCAGTCTGGCGGAGGGCATTTCTAAGCCAGAGCGTGACCAACAGCATTCAGCCCACTGCACCCTGGGGACAGCGATGATTATGTGCAGGCAGGGTCACAACAATGTTGGGAGCACCTAAAGAAAACACACATCTCTTTATAAGGCACTTGTGTTTGAAGACACGGTGCACCAGTGCCATCTACGACCAGCGTGACACTAATATGGAACAATCAGCAGCTCAGCACCAAGCTGGTGGTCCTTTGCTGCAGCCAAGAGGAACTCTCAACACGTCGGTTACACGGCCCTAACTGCAGTCAGGACCACTCAGAGGCGTCTGCGTGAGGCGAAGCTGCAACTCCACATCTGGATCTTGTTATGGATTTCTGAAGAACATCACAGTAGCTACACTTTTTACTTTCTGCTGCTTGAACGACCAGAAACTGGATAAACTCGCAGGATGATGACAAAATGAGAGATTTGATGCTACCTGATAATAAAGTATATTTTAAGATGGAGTCCTTTACTGGATTTTTATCTTTAGGTTTACGATTAGCACAGGTGTGGACTTGAGTCACATGACTTAAACTCGAGTCAGAATCGAGTCATTATTTTAATGACTTCTGATTTGACTTGATAAAATCTATAAAGACTTAAGACTTGACTCAGACTTGAACGCCAATGACTTGCGACTTGAATTGACTTGCATCTGTTGACTTGATGATGACTTGAGTATATTTGATATTTTAGCACAAAAGTGGCATGACATGGACAAAATCATAAATCATTCTTGGTTCTGGGTTTGATTTACTGCTAACTGCAGCAGCACTTTGTTTCTAATCAGTTTCAGTTGCACGTTCTGCTCGTTTGAGCAAATAAATTAAGCTTTAAGAAACTTTATTTCTGGAATTTATTTATTGTTATTAAATTGAAGTTGGACAGATGACTTGAATATGACTTGAAAATTCAGAGTTAAGGACTTAGACTTGACTTGGACTTCCACATCATTGACTTTGGACTCGACTTGGACTTGATTGTCTTTGACTTGGACATGACTCGAGACTTGACTGGAAAGACCTGTGACTTACTTGTGACTTGCAAACCAGTGACTTGGTCACACTGACGATTAGTGTCAGTGTCGATGAAACGGCCGAGGTATTCAACTTAGAGTGGATTTAGTTGGTATTAGTGTTCAGACTAGCAACAAGTCACTCATGACAACACCCACTTTTGTTTCGTTCCATCAGAAAAACGTAATTCCTGATTCTGAGACTAGGAGATGTTTCCTGAATTTTGTGCCGGCTTTTCTAT